CATTAAACCCAATGTCTTCAACTAACTCACAGAAATATCACCTTTGAAGTAATGAATGATGCTTGTTAATAACATAATGTCGCAATGTCATTCTAAAACTAATACGCTTGATATGATGATAACAATATTAATATCATGAATTAAAAAAAAATTAAACAGTTTTAAAGCCATGTTAACATGTGCAATGTTCACATAGCACTTTAGGGATGCAGTGTATAGGCTAAGCATGTGTTATCTTTCACTAAATTACTTAATTACTGTTAATTATCTTTAATATTTATTCTTCTAAAATGCAGATAAACTGAGAAATGTTGAAATGTCCCTCTGAGCTTCCACACTAATCTGTGACTTTTTAAATTCCCTCCACACAAACTCAATAACTCCAACAACAATTTCAAGTTTCATGTGCGCCGCAGGCTCTAAAATTGAAAGCAGTTTACCAGTAAAGAGAGTGTGAAATGCAGCTGTGTGCATGTGACATCAGTTGTGCGTAAAGAAACCAGTTCAAGCCACGTTTCAGTGCAAGTTCCTGTTTATTTATTAGAATATTTACAGACAGAAAAAGAGAGGAAGTAAAAGTGACTCTTTATGTGTCTCTGTTGTTTTTTTTGTTTGTTTTTTTTTTTGTTTTAGTATTTTTTTTTATCACACTCGTAAAGTAGTTGAATGCCAGCAGTGTTGCTCCAACACACACAACATGCTGCTGAGTAGACATGACTTCTCATTAGTGTTGTGGAGAGTTCATTAGTGCTGAGGTCTTAATGTTACCCAGGAGAACAAACCTCACATAGTTACTGAGAGGAGAGCGGAGCTGTGCAAGAATGACTGTGATTCTTTGTTGGACCTAGCCGTTTGTCTCCTGAGTAAATCCGAGGGACATTTTTGAATAAGATTATAAAAACAGAAGAAAAACAGACGTGATGATTTCAGATCTTTGACTTTCTACAAAAGAAAATCCTAAACTCGATGCGATGGACCTCAGCACAAACGTTTGTGAGCGTGCGGATGTGTTGCAGTGTAAACACCCTGTGTGGATCACATTGTGAGCTCATGCGGGGGGGTGATCACTCTTGACTGCTGCTGCTGCTGCTGCTGCTGCTGCTGCTGGCACTGGCCAACAGGTTGTGGTTGGTGAACATCCCAGCACCATTAACCACAACGCATGGTTTTTTTCGTTTTTTTTTTCGTTTTTTTTTTTTTTTTTTTTTTTTTTACACACTGACATGAACGAGAAACCCACTGAGCAATGTCTTCTGTTTGTGCAAAATACAGGAAATAATTTGTTGTCCCTGGCTGTGAGCCAACGTGTGTCCTCTGATTGGTGGAGGGCGGTGGAGGAGAGAGGGGGGAGAAAAAGATACATTTGTTCGTAACTGCTGCTCATTTCCTCTATGAAAAGAAAGTAACTCAGCTGCTGTTTGATTTCCAGTTCAAATAAATTACCAAGCTATAACTTAAAGCTTCCAAATGCAGTTTCCTGATGCAACGTTACATCATCATCATCATCATCATCATCAACATCATCATCATCAGTGAAGACAGACAGCTACTCTCTGCACATTTTCATCATTGTGCTTCTTTCTTTCATTGCTGCATCATAAATCAGGCCAGAAAATATATACATTAGAAACTTTCTCTGTAATAACTAAAACTTTCAAACATTCATTTGTCATTTTTCCTTCAAACCCAGTGTCGTCGTGGTCGCGTGGTCAGTCCAGATCACGTGTGACAAAAGCCTGGAAACAGCTTAAACCTGGCTGTATTAGAGGACATACCACCATACGTAGTGAGCGAGAGAGGAAAGGTGTCGGGTAGTATTTGTATATAAGTCGCGTATAATTCATATTTAGTGTGGCGGTGGCTAGGATTATATATATACTGATTTACAGACACTCCAATTTGAAGTTGATGAATAAAAGAGTACATGTTGCATTCATCTTACACACTTGCAAAATATCTGTCTGTACACAGCTTTAAATATTTTTACACAGAGTGATATAGGAACATACATACAGTATAGAATAACCGGGAGTCATTAAAGCCCTCTTCGATTTTAATGCTCAAGTATCTCTGCCTCAATAATTTTGTATTGTACACCTCAGCATGTGGGTCTTTTTAAAGGATAATTCCAGTTTATTTCTGTTGGGTTTTATTAGTTAAATTAACACTGTAATCGCCAAGTTAAGCGCCTGTGCCAAAAACACAAGCAGTCAGATGATCAGACAGATTGTAAAGCAGCGAGTAGTCTAACCAGCAGGAGCCGTGAAGATGATGATAATGGTGTAGGAAATAAAAAAAGAAATCTACTACATCTAGTTGTGTTTATTTCTGAGACTTCTTTGAAGCTCGACACTTTTCTTGTGAAATTCTGAGCAGGTTTCAGGGTTTTCCCCAGGAAATTGGTTAGTGGAGGAGGTGAGCGCTTCCTGAGCTCTCTTAATCGGTCATTGATGCAAACAAGAAAACAACATGGAGCTAGAGGTGATGGTCCAGTTATTCAGTATTTAACCTTCACTCAACTACATGAACCCGTTGAGTTAAATAATTGCGTGTCTGACCAGCAGTGCAGGTCAGGTTTTGCTCTCACACATCTCTGCCTGACTGTGATTGACTGAGCCTTTGCTTTGGGTTTATTTTCTTTATTATTATATATAGGCTATATTTTGTACTTTTGCATTACCACAAGGTAAATGTACAATGTAATCAATTAATCAATCAATAAATTGATGAGCTGAATCTAACAAACCCTGGGGTATCCTATCTCGTGTATCTCATGATGAGTTTAGTCACTATAGGCTCACTCCTTGAATACACAGCCTGTGTGTGACGTGGTGCCTCTGCTTGTTTCCCCCTGAAGCTTCATTTATTTTATAGTAGTTGAATAATTTCTTCTGACACTGTCATTATTTTCAGCCCTCATGCCCCCCCCCCATTATAAAACACAGCAGGAAACCCTGCTTTAACTTTTTATAGGGTTCTAAAATAATATAAATGAAACAGTCTAAAGACCTGATCACGCACCTGTGAATTCTATTCATTCCAATCTTATCATGATTGGCAGATTCTCTCACAGGGTCAAAGTAAATTGATGCAAATTTTTTGCCTTGACTTGGGTGAACTCTGACGTACCAATTTGAGAAGGGAATGGAGAGTCGGAGAAATCAAAATGGACGAAGCTATCATGGTAGTTGTGTTGCAGCTTTCACTTTTATTGTCAGAGAATAATCTGTGAGATGTTGCTGCGTTCCCAGATCTCAGTGATTAACCAGACAAGCTCAGTAACGTCCTACATGCTTGTATGGATTGGAGCACTTGTTGCAATGTTATCATGACTGAACCGGTGTCCAGACTTACTAAAATCAGGTCCAAATAAACCAGAATTATCCTTTAGACTGATAATATTTGATGCCCATTGGATTTTTTTTTTTTTTTTTTTTTTTTTAAACCTTCATAGGAAAATTGTCACCTGAAGCGAAGCCTCCAGAGCTTGTATGGTTTCAGTGTTTTCAAGAGTACTTCAGCGGAGTTGACGTTTGCTGACACAAAGACTTGAAACCTGTGTCCTGCACCATCCTGCTGCCACAGTCGCTCGACTCTGTGCTCTAAATCTACCGCATTTCATCTCTTCGGTATCAAACCAGCTTAAATGCATGGGTGGGTGTGTGGGGACATCCCCTACATTATAACTGCACATGTAACTGAAAGCCTCAGATTAGCTGACATCAGTGTAACTTTGTTTTTTTGTGTTTTTTTTTTTTTCCTTTTTTTCAAAAAAGAAGTTCAAGTTCCACAAGCAGATCTCGAGACAAGATTCCACTTGTGATTAAAAATCAAACCCACGTATCAAAAGAAGAGTAATGTCTGTTGCTTGAACCCTGCAGAGATAACGTTGTTGATCGGAGACGTTGATCGGAGACGATGTTTCTGGTGTCAGATCTCCGAGATAGAAATACAGTACACTAAAAAGCCTGCCACGTTCCCCCCCCCTCGCAGCAGGTCAGAAGTCTTGATCTCATGCAGCCGGCTGTGTTTTTGTTGGGTGGTCTGGGCAGTCGTCGTGACATCAAACTGTTTTTTTGAAGGTCAGATCTTGAGGAAGACCGAGTAGAATCCCAGTTGATCCATTTATACAGAAAAGCGTCCCATGCGGTGGGATTCTGAACCTTCAAGTCCTCTATGTACAGCAGTGTGCAAGCACATGGGAGAAATATGTCACCAGCATGAGACATGTGGCGCATCGACATTTGCAAAAATATATCTTCATATTTTTTTGCCTTACAGATAGACAATATAAATAGTAAATAATACATGGAAAATATATATGGGGACTGAGAACAGATACATTGTATAGGCTATGCTAACTTAAAGTGCTAAGATACTTAGATTTTTTTTTTTTGAACAGGCTGCAAGCATAAAGGTATATTCTGACTAAAATTTCCCCTTCACTCATGAGAGACGACGCTTCAGCATCAGTGCCCCGCCCTGCAGGGCAGCATCAAAACTCCGTTAGGGTAAAACCGCCTCCAGGCTGATCCAAACAGCACTTTCACATTCTCATTCTCCAGCTTTGTCAGTTGATGAAATGCGAGACTGGAATGTTTTATACTCTCTCAACTACCGTGGAAACAAACGTCTTTTTGTTTTAGAAAAGTGAAAGTTAACTGGCAATCAAACCCTGATCAGTCACCATTCCTTCACAGTGTCACCAACCCAAAACTCATAAGACTTCAATAATCCAGCTTCTACTGTCCGTGGCACTTACTGCACAGAATCCTTTGCAAAATAGACTGTAGTGTGTGTATGTGTGAGATAGAAAATTTCCAAGCAGGTGTACAGTATTTAAAGCTAAGAATAGTCTGTGGAAAAAAAAAGAAAAAAAGATGCCTTTACATCTCCCTGATCATTTACTCCTGAACTGGGCCAGCCTGCCTCTCGTAGCTCGTCACTGGCTTTACTTTCCTAAAGTGTACTAAGTGTGTGTGTGTGTGTGTGTGTGTGTGTGTGTGTGTGTGTGTGTACGTGTGTACGTGTGTGCGTACGTGTGTGTATACGTGTGTACGACACTGTGAAGCTGAAAAACAACACGACACCTGAAACTGTCTGAAACCACACAACAAGACTCATAACAAAACAGCAGCAACCAGAGCCAGTGATTATACAGGCAGAGCTGCCTCAAGGGCGATCAGTGAAGGACTCTGCACGTGGACTCACAAATCCAAGACGGACCCGTGTGTTTAAGTACTTCCCCAAATAAAACAGGCCCCTGTGCCATTTTGCATCCCTACCTGTAGATTCTCACACAGCTGACTGGTTCTAAATGGATGGCCTGTCTGCCGGTCTCTTACGTAATCTATAAGAGGAGAGCGCAGATGTGTGTGTGTGTGTGTGTGTGTGTGTGTCTGTGTGTTGTGTATGTGAGGACTGGTTGCCATGGCAATCAGATCTTGCTGTTCTCCAGGTGGGAGTCGATGTGCTTGATGAGGGCATCGTCAGGGTAACCAACGGGGAATATCAGCTGGCAGAGAGGGCAGCTCCGCATGTCGCTCTCCTCGGTCTCCATCCAGAGCTGCAGAACAACACATACACATAATCAGACTCCAGGAAGAACCACAGGTGGTGTTTGACTTACTCACTTAGCTGGGTTGTATTAGTCAGTCTGTGGGCGGCAACAGAATTACATCACTAATTGCTGAGTGATCACTTCAGACCTACGCAACGGGGGGCCGCTCGGGTCTTGCCGTGAAACAGGTCGACTGGTAGTAAATCCAGGTGGAAACAATGATCCCAGTCCTGATTCACTGTGTAATCCAGCTCAGTTTAGAAAAATAGATCAAATAGAAATTGTTTTAGGAAAATATTTCTGAGCGAGATGAGAAGATTGGTGTCACTTTCATGTCTGTGCATTAAATACAGAGCCAGCGTTGGGCTCAAGAATGACACAGGTAGGTTTTTTTTTAAATTTATTGCTGTCTTTTTTTCCTCTCTTATTTTCTTCATTTCTAAGAAAATGAACTACACATTTCTACTCATTAGTCTTGTCTATACATTTAATATTCATTTAATACTGCTGTATCACGGTGGCTCTCACGTCTTAGTAACACAAAGGCAGTTCCTCGATGAATGAACACCTCAGAAAAGAAATATAAATTAGTCACACTAAAATAATATTATAAATAAATACAGACACCCTCAGCATAATCAAGCAGTTTATCTGTCGCCTCCAACAAGCTCAGGAGGAACTGAAGTCTCGGCCTTGTTTCAAATTCCCACCCAAAAATCCATCACCCTTAAGTGGCATAGTCTAAGGTTCCTCACCTGTTTATATTGCAATAAATGTATATTATTCAGATTATTTAGTAAAAGTGGCTGGAGCCATAATAATAATAATAATAATAATAGTAGTTTATATTATAGGAAGATATACTCTTCTATTGCATCCATGTTTCAGTCTTGTAATCTATCTTGTAAGTAAACACATTCATACCATGTAAACTGACAGCTAAAATGTTTTCCATTGAATTTAGTACAAGATAACAACTGTGCAGATGTCCTAGAATACATGGTGGGGTGGGGGTGGGGGTTCAAAACCATAAGTCAGTTCAGATAAAGTACATATATATATATATGTACTTTATCTACATATATATATCTACATATATCTACATATATATATATATATGTACTTTATCTGAACTGACTTTGTTGAATTTGTCAGTGTCTTTGAAATCTGCTCCAAATCGATGTTTACAAAAAATAATGGCGTTTTCTGATCTGACACATCTTAAACTGTAGCTGAAATTATATAGCTTTTTGTTGTTGTTGTTGTTGTTGCAGCATACTGTACATACACATCTGAAAAAAAAAAAATAATAATTTTTTTTTTACATGTACAGTACTTGACAACACCTGTACACAGACTTTGATGTGTATAATCAGTGGAGTTCCCCTCAAACGCAATTTTGATCATCACGGTGAAACGAAAGCAGCAGAGTTGGTAGGAAACAGGAAAGAAACAGTGGTCTCCCCCTGTCAAGGCTTGGCGCTCCACTGACCCATCCCTGATGTGCAACCTCCTCCGTCTGCGGACGTCTCACTACTTTTCCATTTGCTACCAGTGGACAATGGCTATATTTCCAGTTTTCAATTTAAAAATCACAATATCTGGTTTAAGGGGGAGTTTCTTTATCCATCCACCCTGTACTTCTGTGAAGTGCAGCGTAGCACAGGTTGTCAGATACTGTTTGTGAGCATAGGTTTTGGTTTTGGAGTCTGTACAGGCACAATAGGACCAAACCTGGCAACGTCAATGGAAAACCAATGGAGATTTTTATATTTCTGCTCACGCACAGGCTAAACAAATGAAATACAGCTTGTTATTTAGCTTTAGAGTTGTTGTAAAGCATATACTTAAACTTTGGTCATGAGCCAGAATAGCTGTTTCCCTTTTATGCTAAGCTAGGCTGAACACATCTTGACCCCAGCCCTGTACTTTTAATGCACAGTCATAAGATCAGTATCAAACTTCTCATCTCACCCTCAGAAAGAGAGCAAATAGTCACATTTCTCAAAATGTTGAACTGTTTTTTTAATGTTTTTAAAGGAACTTGGAACCAGGAAGATGCACGGTGAAGACAGATGCCTCGAGATGATTGTGACATGCAGTGTGAAAAGATATACTCTTAACACAGGGTTAAAAACACAAGTTATTTTCTGTGAACCTCCTCAGCAGTTAACCACAGCTGTGACAAAATATCTCCGGACACTTTTAAAAATACAACCTCCTGTTATCAAATTCACTGAACATGTGGCTGCATCAACTCTTTTATATTTTCACTCACATTGATTGAAGGCCAGGACTGAGCGTGCTCTGCAGACATGTACCCCGGCTGCGGGTGGCAGCTGAGGGTGTTAGGCCTCTGAGGGATGGGGAAGGCTGAGCAGGACGCCGGGCCTCTCATGACACCGCTGGGCACTGCGGCGGAAAGCGCCCCCAGCGTCCGCGGCGGGCTGATGGGATGAGGGCAGGTCCACTCCTCCTCATCTTCTGAGGAATGTGGAGGCTGTGGGGCCGGTGTAGAAGGAGGAGGGGGCTCAAAATGAAGGTGGGCCACCTCAGAAAGTGGGAATGGCATCTCTCTGGAGTGGCGCATGGAGCCCTCCCCGAGGCCCCCATCTCCTCCCGCACCACCTTGATGGGGAGACGGGGAACCCCTGTGCTGCAGTCCACCATGAGCCGAACCCACATGTTGGGGCTGTTGTTTTGGGTAGCCCTCAACGTAAGGCCGGGGCTTAGGCAGGGTGGAGACAGGGTCCAGAGAGAAGCGGGGCGGGCACTGGTAAGCCGAGGGGTCGGCGACCTCGGAGTAACTTCGGCGGCCCTGGAAGCTGGCCCTCAGGTGCTGGCTGGGCGGCCGGCAGGAGTAAGAGGCCGGCCCGTTGTTGACGTCCAGCAGGGGCGAGCGGCGGTGCATGTCTGGTGAGAGGCGCTGCAGCACCGGGGAGCGTCTCTGTTGGATTGGGGAGTGGTGAGGCGGAGGCGGGACCGGAGAATGGCGCTGTGAGATGGGCGAGTGGCGCTGAGATACTGGAGAGTGGCGCTGGTGGTGGATGGGAGAGTGGAGCTGGACTGAGGGAACACAGGAAAAACAAACACGTAAAATCAGTTCTGAATAAAATTGGCAACATGTTGCTGCACCACATGGCCTTGTGTTTACTTTTGGGCTGTTCTTCATGGTTTGGGCAAGACCCTTTAGTTCTAGTTGAGGTCATTCTTAATGCTGCATGCTATTATATTTATCATAAATTATTATATTTTAAACAACAGAACTTTGTGGCAGCAGTTTGGGAAAAGCTCTGTCCTGTTTCGAGATAACAATAACGCCCATGCACCAAGTCAGGTTAATGAAGAAATAGTTTACCTGTGTAGAGGACATTTTTGAACCAGTCAATAACATACAGTGGTGGAAATAAGTATTTGACGCATCAACATTTTTCTTTGTTAAATACAGTTTCAATGTAGCAATTTACATGAGACATTGGTACAAACTTCAGAAATTCTCATAGATAAAGAAATCATAACATTACAATCCATTAATAAAGTTGTATTTAATAAAGTGAAAATGACACAGGAAAAAAGTATTGAATACACAATGTAGTTCTACCTCCAACCTGTGTAAATTAGAATCAGATGGGTTAGTGTATGATGATAGGTTAAAAAAAGGGGTTTACCCGCCTCTGAATTCAAGTGTAGACATCATGGTTTCGAAGCTGTCGCACAAGAAACATGATGTGTAAAGACAAAGAGTGCTTGCAACAAGAGTGTTGTGCTTTATCGCAACGGCACCTGTTACTGCCGGATATCGCAACTCCTAAATATTCTTGTAAGCACCATTGAGGCTATTAGCTTCAAGTCCACCTGTTGAAGAAATGGCAAGTTGAGGGTCGTCTGAAGTTTGCTGCACGACATTTGGAACAGCCTGTGAATTACTGGCAGAATGTTACACCAGAAGCCATGTTTGGAGGAGAAACGGTTCTGCGTATGACCCTTAAAATAACAAAACCACCAACAACAGTAGTTGGTTATTTGGCGGTGGAAGCACCGTGGTACATGGAGCCATGTAGCAGGAAATTCTTGAGATAAATCTGTTCTGATGAGGATGAGACGACCTTCCAGAAAGTATGATAATCCAGACCAGACTGTGGAGGAGACTCTCAACTGGTTCCAGAAGAAGAAAATAACTTTGTTGGAATGGCATGGTCGATCACCAGGACATGCGTGGAAGGAACACAAGAGGACCGCACTGAATCCTCAAGACTTAACGACCAAAATCCCACCTGAGCCCCACGAGTGATTTGCTTCTTCATACAGGAAGCGTCTTGAATCTGTCACTGCAAACAAAGGCTTCTCCACCACGTATGAAATAAATTTCTCTCAGTGTGTTCATACTTTTTTATAACATAAACGTAACTTTATTTATGGATTGCAATGTTAGGATTTATTTATCTGTGTAAATTTCCTGGTGTTTATACCAATGTCTGGTCAAATATTCATGGTAATTGCTGCATTGGAACTGCTTTGACGTGTTGAATGCTTATTTCCGCCATTGGCTGGCGACATTTCCAGTACAAGCAAAAGAAAATGTCACTGGTTCACCACTTTTTATTATGCTCTGCTCAAATCTGACATTCTGCTCCCACCGGTAGATCGATTGCTCTCTCGATGTACGCCACTGAAAATGCTGATCAGGAGAGAAAACCCTCCTACAGACATTCAACAAATAGAAATACACATCATGTTCCTCCTGTGTTTTCATAAAAAAAGATCGAGATCTGCACAAGTACAGTTGTAGTGTTTCCTGTAATTACAAGATATGGTGATGAGTCAGTCACCCCTGTAGTCACCACTTCAGCTCCACTTCCCATATCAAAGAGGAAACATCATTTCTGGCCGGTTGGTTGAGGTGTTAAAAGGGAGGGGGTGTTTGTACTCTGAAGAGCTCTCTGAGCCTCCAAATGAGGAGGGAACACTCAAAATGGGACTATTCAGTTCACGCTTTACTCTCTGCAGAACAACAGTTAGGAGAGCAGTTACGGCCTCCACGCAAAATTCCCACTTCCCCGATCGTTTCAACGATTGACGAAAAAGTATTTGTTTTGTTAAAGATAGCTGAGAGGCGATCACTTCGACGATCCTGTAAGCAATTAAGCAGGAAGCGCCATTCAAGTCGCATTTTCTAAATTAATATGATGCAACATGACCTTAGGGAAAAGTCAAGTGGAGTTTGGGGTTTTCTGAGTTTTTCCCACCATTCGCTGTGTAGAAAAATACGCTCACTGATGTACGCAACACAGTTTTCCACAGTGCGTAAAAGGCATAAACATGTGGTGCATTCTGGTTTGTGGTAGGTAGTAGATGCACAGTCGTGAGACATTAGCTATGTGTGTGACTGCGTTTGCAGGAAGAGAAAGGTGTTGCTACTGTACAGTTCAGCACTTGTAAGTTATACTCTAACACATAATGTCTTGTGTTATAGCTGCAGTCTTTTTTTACTTTCAGCTGTGAGTGAGAAAACAGTAGCAACAAATCACAACCATGAGCTCTTTCTCTGTTATTAGACTAACGGAGGCAAACATACAGAGCCCTGCAGCGATGCACTAACAGTATGTGGTTTAAGTTACGTTGAATTTTACAAAGTATCAGCATCTTTAACCTCCTAGGACCTGGCGTCCACATATGTGGACGTCACATTTTGGGTTCTCTAGACCACAATACTAACTTTTTCTCAACAAGGGCCTGGTGACCACATTAGAGGACATTATTCTGCCACTTAGTGGTGGGAGAAGAGTGTAACACATTACAGATTAGATTCTAGATAGCAGACAACACACCCAGATGTTCAAATGGCCACTCCCGATCCCAATCCTGCCCTGGTAAAAAATTCAATCAAATTTCATGGTTGATTCTTGTTCAAATATGTATAAAAGTATTCAATCTTTGTTATGGAAGTAAAATTTTACAAAAGTTAGGAACTGTAATGATTTACCATGCCGCTAAACATGATGTCCACATATGTGGACAAAGGGACTTAGTTTTGTTAGTTAAGAAGCAGATGT